TGTTCACTAGAAAAAGTGAGTTTTGTGGTATGTAAACTAGAAAATTTTTAAAAATTAAATGTTTTTCTACCACCAGTTAAACTTACATTAGCAAATATTTCTCTGAAAAATTTCTCTTAGAGTCTGATAATTCAAAATCTTAGCTCTGCCACATTATACTAAAATTGAATAAGTTGTATTTTCCATATTTATACCTTTTAAAAATATTTTTTTGAGAAACAGAAGGAGGTCTTCCTTCCACTGGTTCACACCCCAAATGGCCCCAATGGCCGGAGATAGGCCAAGAGTAAGCCAGGCGCTTTTTTGGGGCCTTCCACATGGGTGCAGGGGCCCAAGCACTTGGGCCATATTCTACTGCTTTCTCAGGCACATTAGCAGAGAGCTGTACAGGAAGCAGAGCAACCAGGACTCAAAGTGGACCTATAGGGGTTGCCTGCATTGCAGGCAGAGGCTTAACCTACTATGCCATGGTGCCGGTCCCCAAAAGACATTTGGGAAGTGAACCGGTGGCTGAAAGATACATTGATTAATCTCAATTTATCTCTCCCCCTGCCTCAATGACTTTCAAAGAAAGATATAAATCCCCCCCACACACACACTCAAAGAAACCTTTATTTAAGGAGTACAAATTTCTTAAGTACAACTTTAGGAATACAGTGATTCTTCCAACTGCACCTGCACCCCTACCCCCACTCCCACCCCACCACTTCCTCCGTCTCCATCCCCAGTCACATTCTCCATTAAGATTCATTTTCAGTTAACTTGATACAGAGAAGACTGTGATCACTCGAGGCTCCTGACTTGAGCTGCCAAGGCTATGGGAGCCTTTTGAATCTACAATCACCGTCAGTATTTAGACAAGGCCATAAGCAAAGTAGAAGTTCTCTCTTCCCTTCAGAGAAAAGTACATTTGAAGGACTATTTTAACTGTAAGAAGTCTTACCTCCAAAAAGAATGCAATTTTTTAAAAATAAAGATTAAAATATAAAAACAAGCATTATGCATGAGATTCACAGTGGTATGGCAAATTCACATTTATGCAACTTGAGAATGAAGGAATTCCAAAAAGACAAGGAGACTATCAGGATTCATTTTTAAAACTACTATTGCGTGGAAGCAGTGAGGAAGGCACAGGGAGGCAATGAAGCAAACCATGAAACCCAACCATCACCACACGGTAGCCGGGAAGAAGAAATCTCCTCTAACTTGCCTAGGACCAATTAAGCAAATAAAGGAAAACCACTACCTACCTCCATCCCCTTCTCAGCTCCACCAACAGCCAACTTCCTCTTCTGCCCCAATGGAAAAAATAACCAAGGATACTGCTAATTTTCTAGTTCTACAATCAAACTTCACTGGCTCGGGGGATGACTTCCTACCTTTTTTGGTTCCTCATCTCTATGCTTTCATTGGATACACCCAGAATAATAAAACTGGAAGTTTTCAATTGAACTGACATTAAAAAAAAATTTTTTTTAACTCCCATCCGGTTGGATGTGTGAACAGAAAATGCTACATCTGTGAAATGTGAGCTCTTCATTAAAGAAACTACCTCAAACCCCAAGCTTGGACAAAGAGCGCCAATATCCCTGCTTCCCAGAGGTACTGCCCCATCACTACAAGCTCTTGGCTAATGTCACACCCAGAGCTCCCCATCTGCCTGGGCCCTGCAGCACCATGGGGCTTCCTGGCAGTTGGCACCACAGTTGCTGCTGGCACCAGGACTCTGGCAGAGACCAGAGGGAAGCATCATATTAAAAGGAATGCCGACTGCAAACAGAGGCCACAGATGAAAAGTGGACATCTACTCAACTGATGACAGCACATGCATTTGTGCCAATAAAACACCACTCTCCAATCACCAAATTTATGGAGGATTTTATTAATTTCAAATGTCTACTCCACTGAAAAAGACTCAAGGGCCATCTAACCGAGTCTCGGGGTGGGGTGACTCTTCTAAAATGGAATTGAAAGATATTTATACCGGTGCAAAAACCATTTGAAATCCATGCACAGTTCTTTACAACATATGCATTTTCCATGAATTCTGAAAATCCTGTATATGTCTGATAAACTAAATCTTACTAAGAGCCTTTAAACCTGGGCGAAACCTCCATTCAACTCATCTCCCTCTCACCCCTTAGAAAGCGGTGAATCAATCAAGTTCTTCTCTCTGAAACATCTATGGGAAACCTACTGGCTGAATTTACTGGGGTTCATAGTCTGAGGGCTGACATTAGAAACTTTTTCAAGCACCTTATACTGGATATTTATACTCAGTTGTTTTCTAATTGTTTCCTGAGTATGCTGCAGTCTCTCATGGGACAAGAACCAGTACTGGTTTGGCATCCTCAGCCCCTGCACTTAAAGATATGGCTGAGTACTTAATAGTCAATACAAAGACATGCTAATTTGTCCTAAAATTGTTTTACAATAATTTTTAAGCTGTTTAATGTTTTTAAGAATAAAAAATTATCCCCATATTGGTCTTTTTACATCATGACCCATAATACCTCATTTGATTAGGAAAAATGCAAAAATAAAGAAAACTAAGTTCCTTGCTGTCTGAATTATAAAGTCAGCTGATTAACCATTATGAGGAAGTATTCTGTTTTACTCTTTATTCTGCCATTACATAACCCAAACCTACCCTCCAGGAAAGCATAAATGGTTCAATAAAAGTCTCCTTGTGCTGAATTTTCAAACAGGAATCAGAGGTACAGTCTGGCCACTTTCTCAGCTTCCTCAGCCCCCACACAAGTCACATTCTGAAGACATAGTTCAAGAGAAGATGTGGACAGAACCTATGGCTCGAAACCAAAAGGTGACTCCTACTGCAAAGGAGCAGAATTTATCCTGGTAGCCAGTTGTCTTTCCATTTAAGAACCTCAAAAATCCTTTTCTTTTCCTTAAACCTTATGGAATTTTACTTTCTGCCATTACAAGAGACTGATCTCTAGCACACAAATATCTCTGAACAAATGTCTAAAATGTAAAAAATTTTTTAAAAATATAAAAAAACTGGAATAATATATACTACATATTGATAATTATCATCTTGGGCAGAGAGTATAGATAATTTTTATGTCCTTCACTATACATCTAAAATTATAAACTTTTCATAATAGGAGTGTATTATCAAATAAAAAAAATGAGCAATGGAAAATCAAATTAGAATATTTATGCAGTGGAGATAAGGAAACCACAGAATTTTATTAATAGATAAACTTTAACTTCCAACATTTCACTCTGCACTACTAATCTTAACTTTGGAGAAGCTGGCATTACTTTCAATTCCATTGACACAGTACGAGCTCTGATTCTCCTTGTTCCAAAACAAAAGACTGTCATTTTTCAAGGTAGAAAAGGAATTTCTATACCTGAAAAATACAGCATTTTGGTTGCTTTCAAGACCTCCTGGGCCGGCACTGTGGCATAGTGGGTAAAGCCGTCACCTGCAGTGCCAGCATCCCATATGGGTGCCGGTTTGTGTCCCGGCTGCTCCATTTCCAGTCCAACTCTGCTATGGCCTGGGAAGGCAGTACAAGATGGCCCAAGTCCTTCGCCACTGCACCCATGGAAGACTGGGAAGGAGCACCTGGCTCCTGGCTTTGGATCAGCACAGCTCTGGCCATTGCAGCCATCTGAGGAGTGAACCAGCAGATGGAAGACCTCTCTCTCTGCCTCTGCCTCTCTCTGTAACTCTGCCTTTCAAATAAATAAATAAATATTTAAAAAAACAAAACTTCATAGTTGATTAACATTCTGTGTAATAACTGTGACTCATTTTCAAATGAGATGTCACCATACACCACTGTTCTTTTTTAGGTAGTAAATAAAAAATATTAGAACTCAACTTTAGTTCCAAAATTCCTTACAATTCACAGTGAACTGATCCTTTAAAAAATAATAAAAATAAAGGGCTTTGCCTTAAACATTTTTACATCTTATATTTCCTTTTTCATGGTTTACACTTCAGCAAAGTCCTGACTAGGGCTAAGAAAGCATTAACAAAAAAAAAATGTTTTGCTTAACATTGTTAACAAACAAGACAGCTCAAAACATTCCTGAAACTTTCTGGTAATAGAAATGTTCTCAGTCTTGATGAGACTGTATGACACACAGGTATATGCATGTTTTAAAATACAAACTAGGTGTGGGTACTTGGTGCAGTGGTTAAGACATCTGTGTCCTACGTTCAAGTGCCAGCACCACTCATGGTTCACGTTTTCTACTAATACACACCATAGGGCACAGCAAGCACCCAGTACCTCGCTCCCTGATGCCAACTTAGGGGACCCTGGATTGAATTCAGAGCTCCTGGCTTTGGCCTGGACCATCCCCAGCTATGGCAAGCACTGACACTGTGGCATAGTGGGTAAAGCTGTTACCTGCAATACCAGCATCCCCTATGAGTGCCAGTTCAAGTCTCAGCAGCTCCATTTCCAATCCAGCTCTCTGCTATGGCCTGAGAAAGCAGTAGAAGATGGCCCAAGTCCTTGGGCCCCTGCAACTGTATGGGAGACCCAGAAGAAGCTCCAGGCTCCTGGCTTTGGATCAGCACAGCTCTGGCCATTGCAGCCATTTGGGGAGTGAACCAGTGATGGAAGGTCTTTTTTTTCTCTCTGCCTCTGTAACTCTGCCTTTCAAATAAATAAATAAGAATAGGAAAAGAAAAAAAGACTAGAGAAAAACTATGGCTTAAGAAATGATGAAAAAAGAAAAAAACCCACAACCTATTTCCCTACAGTCTCTGAATCTTACTACAAGTAAATCATGGCACAATTAAAAAGGTATTTTAAATCTTCCTGCAAAATTGCATTTGAGTATCATTGAAATCACACTCAGACCTAGGTTTTGCCTGGGTTAACAAGATCCTAAAGCCAAAAAGGAACCTCTGTACCAGAAGTCATGGACTTGCCTTTCCATGCCCACTGTAAGAAACTTGCATTTCTAGATGGATCTCAAACTGCATTTGCCCAGATGAGAAATCCACTCACCTCAGCTGACTGAGAAGGCATCTTCAGCTTGGTGAGTTTGACTTTGGCAGGCACTTTTAAGTCTGTTTTTTCAAAGGTCTGCTGTCGGTAGTCCTCCGGCAGTGGTTTCAGTTCAGGAGACTCACTGGGAGCCTGGTCTTGACCATCCATGGGCCGGACATAAGCTGTAGGCTTCTGTTGCATGGCAATGGTTTTTGAGGGGAGGGAGGAGGGTGGAAATGTCTGAGAAGGTGGCTGGGGAGGGGCTATCCCAAGGCTGGCCACTGCCACCAAGCTGTCTTGAGGGGTCTCTTTTTCATGGACTTTCACCACTGGGTCCTTGGGAGATTTGGCCAGGCAGTAGCCTTTGCTGTTGTTACTGCTATGAACCTTGCTGCTTCCTTGTGTCCTGGGAAGACTCTGCTGGTTGGAATGTAGAGGTGACAAAGGGGGTACTGGAGATGGCAAAGAGATTAAGGGAGAAAGCTCCTTCCCTGCAGCAGAGGCCATCATCAAAGCACAATGTTCTCCATCAGTCCTGCGGTCCCCTTTTTTGTGATGACTGGAGCTGTACCCTTCCTGACCAGGGCGATCCTGGGTCAGGTGCTGACTGTCCAGTGAGCCATAACTTCTGGCATGGACACTTGTCATTGGTTCCATTCTTGGCTGTGCCATCTTTGGATTGTGGTTAACGTTACCAACAGGAAGTGGTCCAGAGGCGGGAGTGTGAATGGGCTGGTGGGGGACGGCAGTTTGGAAGGAGTTAGATGGAATGCTGCTCCCCTTGTCAGGAAAGAAAGGATATCTCGGCCTTTCCAACCTGTTCCCAGAAGCGTCCAAGGGCTGGGATTGGGGCTTGCTACTATAGAACTCCTGCACTTCTTCATAGCTTCCTAACATGTTCTGTATACGACTGGAGAGCTCATCACCTTTTGCTGTCTGGAAATAAAAGAAAGGATGACAGAATTAGACACTGGGGGTGGGGGACCTAAGGAGAGCACTCATTTAACAAATTACATTACAGAAACCGTTAAAGAACAACCCCTTCAATTTTAGCTCTCAAGAAGGTTGTCGTGGACACATATTACTGATGAGGGGACAAATATTGTGAAAGAAAACCACAAACTGGTAATTCTAACAACGTTCATGAATCCTCATCCTTTATCTTCAACAATAATCTGTAGAGTAAGTTATTTTCATAGTTGTGACCCCTGTTCCAACAAGTTACAATGAACGGTTTCATCACACGTAGAGTCCAATTCTGCGATAAACCAGACTTTCACCTTCTAGTCTATAGTAAATACCTTGTAAGGCTCCCCAAAAAGGGGAATCTTTTCCGGAAGTGGCTCTTTCTCTTGGTGAGCTTCCTGATTGCGCCTCTCCTTCTCTCTAATTCGAAGCAGGTTTCTGTCTTCATTGTACAAGCTGTTTCAGATGCCACAAGAGAACAAAAATGATAAACTTTATCAGAATCCACATTCTGCGGCAAATGGACACGTATGTGGGGAGATAAGGATGGGTCTAGAAATAAGTGATTTCAAGGGATGGAATGAAAGGAAGCAGAAATCCCTGAACCCCTCCTGGACTGAGGCCACGTTCCATGAGCTGTGACCTCCCAATCCCAGTTCCTGTGCAGGGAACACGTTCAATCCGGGCTACAGCTTCCTTCCATCACTGCTCAGAACTCACTCCCAACTGAACAGTCTTTTATAGGCAGTGGTGGAACCGAGACAAGGTTAATGATATTTTTTTCCTTCAGCTTGCAAAATATGGGGTAGAGGTAATAGTTTTTCATCCGGAAGAGGCAGGATGTGAACTTTAAAGAGACTGTTTTCCTGGATCAGTATCGTACATTTTCAAAGATTAAAATCAAAAGGCTTATTTCATAATTAAAAGATTACCAGGCACCCAAAACAGCAGTTACTTTATTCTCAGCCTGCTGTACTGGGAGTGTCTTGGAATGTAAACCCAAAAAGAGGATCCTTTTATTTGTGATTTCACATGTCAGGAATGGGGAAATTCAGTTTTAGATGTTAGCTCTACCTATTGCAACTGTCTTCCATTCTGATTGCCACAGTAAATCCACGTAACATTTTATCGTAAATCACCAGAGCCAGCACCAAGGGGTTAAAATGCATTCACTGAGAAACAAGCCACAGAAATGAAGGCTGAAAGAACTATTACAGCCATACTTAAACCAAAAGTGAGTTGACTTCACTATCAGCAACACAGGCCATGCCTGACCCTCACAGGTGATGTGTAACAGCCAACGAAAATGCTCCCGGGGAAATACCCGACTGGACTTCACCAATGCCATCTGAACAAAGAGGAACCGATTCCCTTGGTCTAGCAAAGATGGCATGAACCTTTACAAATCCCAGACCTGGTGTGAGACACCCTCCCCAGTCCCCCCTCCTGGCTGTCCCCTCTCTCGTGACTTCTCATTTCCTCTGAGAAGAGTCTACAAGGGTCCCTGCCTTCCCCATCTCTTATCCCTGTAATTCAGAAACCTGACCAGAAGGCCCTAGTCCTTACGTTCACAACCCTTATTTTAAAATAACAAGCATTTTGTAGCATTTTACTACTGCAGAATAAACTCAGATTCCTTGCTTTACATTGAACTTCCCCAATATGGAGTACAGATCTCAGCTGGAAATGATGGCTCTGGCCCTCTGCAAGCATGCCACGTGCGTTTTACACAGTCTTGCTAGTTTCCTCAAGTACACCCTAGGAAAGGCAGATCTCTTGCTCTAACCCCTACCACTTAGACTACAGGATCAGAATCTGCTCACAGATGGTGGATAAGGCAGTATCAGACTAAAAGAGAACACCTGTATCAACGAAATCAAAAATTTATTCCAGTGAACACAGCAAAGAGGAGAAACTAAACCAGAAACTGGCTTAAGGTGTTTTCTCTGATACAGTCTGACTCTCAATCCAGCTTCTTTCTGTTGGTGGCAGCATAACAGGTTCGATGGCCACTCAAGAATTCCTTTAAGTTCTTTTATGATTTTGGACATTCCTCTTCTTGGTGCAAAAAAAAATTTAAAAACTGTCAAGTAAGAGGGTTCATCTTCCAACTTGTTTCACAGCCACTCTGAAATGGTTTTCAGGGAGGAGTGGGCATGTAGCTATCCTCTGAGAAATCTAAACTGCAGCTCTTCTCCGCCCAGAAACTACCTGGCACAAGTACATCGTTGCGGGGAGAGGGCGGGGTGGAGGCTGCAGAGGCTGTTGCTTGGCTGGGGTTCCCTGCTTGGTAATGCAGACACCAAAGCTTCCCTGCCGGTACGCGTCACAGCTCTGGCTCTGCCTCACACAGGATTCTGCCCAGTTGTGAACTGCTACCTTGCCTCTGAACAGGGAACCCAAAAGGCAAGTTTCTCAGTCCAGGATTGAAAAAGGAGGGTTTAACTCAGTAACAGGCTGCCCAACAGCCTCCCTTAAACTCCCCAAAAACTCCACACAACTAATCATCCTGCAGTTCACACTGGTTTAATATTACTAAAATATCACTGATCAATCAGCTCAGCACGGTATCTCAGCATTGATCAATACTGCCACGCTTCCAGATTTTCGCTCGAAAGCAATGAAAACTGCTACTAACCGGAGGAAGCCAATTAGGCTATTCTTTCACAAAATTCTCAGCACTAGCTTATTACTATGCCATTCTAAAATCAAGGTACTTCCCAGACAGAGAAAATCCTATTAAGGATTTTGGTTAATTAAGGTTTTGCTCCATTAGTTTCAGAAAAATTAAGACAAAGATTTTATTGGCAGGCATAAGCAATACTATCCAAGTTTAAGACAAACCTTGAATGTTTATTATTCATCACCACCTTTTCAACCACACGTAAGTCATGAGCTGGGTACAGACACCATAAAGCTCACTGGGGTAGTTTTTGTGAGAAAAACTCTCACACTGGCTGTGGGGCAACTCTCTTTTGGGTGTCCAGCACCACAGCTCCTAGGGGGTCAGAGGAAGGTGAAAGTGACAGGAAGTTCCCAGAAGTGTACAGGGTAGGTTTTGAACTAGATTGCATCCTTTCTTCTTGCAACTAACAGGGTTTTGCCAGTGCACTTGGTTGCTTTCAGGTTGACTTGGTCTTTACTGACTGCACCTTTGAGATAGCTTAGAGAATAAAAGTTCCCAGGCAAAATTTTTTAGAAATATTTTTCCTTTATCCCTTTTGAATGCAGGAGAAATGTACATTAAAAAATAAAAATACAATTCATATAATGAGTCAGTTTTTGTTCAGACTACACATGCCAAGATGCAAACCAAGTGCAAGGGGGAAGGGGCTGTGGGGGAAGAACTTTTAAGGGAGGGGATTTTAGGAAATGGCAAATGTCCTCTCTGATTCACAAACTCTGTAATTATCTTTGAATAAATTACAAGTTAACTAACACTTTAATTAAAGGTGGCCCTTCTTTTTTGTGTTAAGAAAAAAAACGCACTTTTGCTCTCACACACACGTAAGAAAACTCCATCCCAACATAAGTGAGGTCAGATGTTCTTACTGGTCCACACGGAATTTACTCCCCTGGAGTGGGGTGCCCATTATTAAATGTGGAAAATGTGCATTATGGAAAAAGCTATGTAAAGATTTCATTTTTTTACACCAAAGCAAACATATCTTTTAATTTCATTATTCCACAAGCTTTGTGAAGTTCCCTTCTGCAAGTGCTCCAGCTCATCCCTCCCCCACTAGGTAAGAGGTTCCCGAACTTGAATCTCTGAACTACCTACTTCCAGGTCAGCAGATTGAGGGGGTGGGAGGGGTGGGCTGGCTGAGAGCTGCATGTTGAACAAGTATCTGGCAGGTTCTGGGGGCTCACCAAAAAACAACAGCACCAAGGACAGCAGTAGTCCAGCTACAGACAGGCCCTACTTGGCACTGGTTAGTCAGCACGGATTCAGGCACGTGATCACATCTGTCTACTGTCTAACTATCAGAACCACCTTTGTGATAGTAAGATTTTTAACTCCATTTTCCAAATCTAGTAATAATCATAATAAGCCTCGAAAGCTGAATTGCTATTCAATGGTAGCTGCGAAAATCCAAATGCCTGCCAATACAGCTTATGTTTTCAGCCCTGTGTTCAACAAGGAGACGATGACAAAGAAGACACACTAAAGTGCGCTGACACTTTTTTATACAGTCACTAATAACTTTTTAGTCTCGAAAAGGTACATGTCGGCACTTCAGGTATTATATTCTTGCTGTGAGAGCAATCTCCGAACCATATGTGTTTGGTTAAATTTATCAATGCAGGTCTGTCCTTTAAGATCCTGACAGAAGGCCCTTTGAGAAAGGGATGGTGGACAGCATGAAATTGCTCTTCAATGAATAAAAACCACACTACAATTTCTATTTTAGAGTCTTTTTACAATTTACACATTTGAGGTCAGTGGCCCCATAATAATATCAAAAGCCATCTCTAATGTGCTAAGGGATCTTTCACTTTAATCTCTTTCAAGTACAGGAACCAAAGTACCCATAATACACACAACATCAGGTTCCACTCATGAACTTCTGGGGACTGACCTAGGCCATGTTCCTGGATGCTGCTGGCTCTCTTAGCCCAGGACTCACTCTTGGTGGGTGGGGGGGATGAGGAACAAAAACATCAAGTCCCTGGTGGTGCAGGCAGCTCAGCCTACAAAAACAAGTCCACATGCTGAACTGTGCCCTCCAAGGGTGGGTATAAAGTCTGACCACCCCACAGAACATCCAAAAATCTCTTCTGATTGGGAATAACTTACAGTAGCTATGCTCTTGCTTTCAAATACTACCGTGTGACACCTTCCAGGCTCAACACACTACATCAAACCACCACATGGTTTTTCGTTTGTTGCTGTTTTTCGATTAAGTGAACAACTAGAAAGACCAAAGGAAGAAACCACAGGCTTCAGTTTCCTGGTGAGAGAGTACTCACATGTGCAAACTCACCACATAGCACATACACACACAGCCAACAGAGACAGCCTGAGCGGCACATGTTTCAGGGGACAGAATTCCCTACTCCAGCTCCACACAGAAGCCTGAGGGAAGCTTTGGAACTCCACCCTGCGTGAGGATGAAGATGCACCTACTTTCTGAGAGCTGGGGAGAATCTCTGCATGTGAACACAGTGGTGGTGCTTGGGCACGTTTACTCTGCTGCTTCCAGTGTTTCTTCTTGGAGGTATGGAATGTGTTACGGATGTGTTAAAGCATTGTGTTAAAAACACACACACACACAGATCTATAAAGATTAGTGACAGTGATTCCTTTTTCTCTCTCCCTAGCACTGAAAAGGTAAACAGCAAATGTGGATGGGGGAAAGACAGCAGCAGACAGGTCCAAGCTGGGCTAGAGATGTGGGGAAGCTCCCAGGCTCGGGGATCATCTGGCCCAGGCACCTACTTCAAGGCTGCAGCCC